GCCAGGTTACATGTGTTCTGGAATGCTGTGTGCCTTCTCTGTTGATTCTTCTGTCGGGAAATGTTAACTAGTTGTATCATGGCTACCTTTGTTCTTTATATGACGCTTCTTCTAAGTCTTAGAGGAGTCTATGAGAGGCAATGATTCTCACTTGAAAGCTGAGGGCTGTTAACTCTGGCAGGTGGCAGTTAGCTCTCCTGTCTTTGTCCAACTGTCCCTTCTTTTATACCCTTGATGACATATGTTGTCAAAACCATCATATTTAAATTTAATTGCTTTTTGGTATCTTGGTGCCTGGTTCAAAATGATTGGCTAAATTCAAAACTTGTTGTTGTGGTAAAAACTGCTGCTTGGCCTGCTAACTGTACAGCCTTTTGATACAAATGTTTCAAATTGAGTACTCTCTCCGTACTTCTAAACTTTCAAGCCACAGACTTTTTTCTTTAAATCTCTAAGCATACAACAAGCACAGCATATTTTAAAGGGACCGTGCAATGCTTCCCCCCCCTAGCATTTTACAAACACCAAATTCTAACTTCCTGCCTCCCAAACCACAAGTACTCTAGCTAACTTTGCAACAAAGGTTTAGAGATGATGTGAATATCACTGTTTTTACCTAGAAGATGATGGGAATCTGGAACTCACTGCCTGTAAGGGTGGTAGAGACAGAAACACTTATAATATCTAAGAAGTGTTAAGATGTGAACTTGCAATTTCAAGGCATACCAAGATGTGTGTCAAGTACTGGAAAATGGACCGAGATTAGTTAGGTGCTTGTTTTTGACTGGTGTAGCCTCAGTGGGCTGAAGGGCCTTTATTTGTGGGGCAGATCTCTCTGCCCTATGACTGTTAGTGACACTCATTTCAAATGCTGCTGACAGATTCATGTGATTGGCTGTCATCCATTCTTGCTTTTATTATGTGTATTTAGATGATATTAATTGGAGGAAAGAAGTCAGGTATTCATTGTATGCTTTGCTGTGATTGTATTTCAATTCCAAATTTTTAATCCAATATGCTTTATTAATCTGTATGGCACTAATAGTTTCCATTTGTTCATTTGAAGTCTTGATTTAATCCAAAGCATTTGTACAGGATCTTCATTACTTTAATTTTATTGGAGTTGGAACTCTTTCGGATTGGCCGCAGTGCAAGGTTTTTAATTTTTCCTTCAATTAGCTTGTTTTATGCTTTCCTTTGGTATGGATACCCAAAAGCTCAAATTTACTTTAAATGAAGCTTTGAATTGCATTTAACGCTTCATTGTATCAAAATATGGAATGGTAATTGAGTGTATACCTGAAGTGAATTGGGATTGCCTTCCCTCTTCAGAGTAAGGTTTCTTCAAAGCGGAGAATTGTAAACCTTGAAGTGCAGGTACCTTGAAATTTCCCAGAAAAGCTTCTCATTGTATACCTTTGTAAAGGAAAGAGAAGTGCATGCAGGAGAAGCCATAATTCATAGAACTGCCATTACCTTTAATTTAAAATAAAAATGAACTGTGAAGAATGTTTGTTTGATACATGTATAAAACCTTAGTTGCTACCACTTGCCTTAAAGCAAACTTCATGGGATTAGATTGTGAGGACAAAGAACGAATAAACTGCCTTATTGTTGTACACCCTTTGTAGCCTTAACCTCCAAATGTTCTTTTAAATCGAGAAGCCCTTTCAGCTGTACTCACTAGTTTAGTTTAGGGAAATCCAGCACTCTATTTGCGTCAGCAAGGTTCCACAACTAATAAGGAGGTAAATGAGAAAGTGTTCTTGTCTTCACATCGCTCATGACACATATATGTTCACATGGATATTGGGGAAGCTCTTTAAAACATGAAAAAATAGTGCAGAATCCCAAAATTTTATTGATCTATTTAGATATTTGCAAATAATGTGATTAGTTCTTACTAAAGAAAAGTCGATGTCAGGATTGTAGTATTATTGTTCAGTTCTCCATGTATTCACTTTACACAGTCAAAGCCATAGATCATGGGGTTAAAAACTACAGGGATCAGCATTTTGATGAGTATGCAACACTGAGGGGTATTCTGGGCCAGATTGAGTGCCAGTAATTCATTGCAGTTATATTTGTCTACAGATTTTTCAATGAAATTATGCACTGGTTACTTATTGTTCTTAAACAACTATTTTGATGCAGTGTGTCCTACTGGTGATCTGAAATCTATCTGAGCTGTGCATGCAACTGAGTTACATGAAAGAAAAATGCTATAGATAATGGAAATTTGAAATCAAACCGATAATGCTGGGAATACTTATCTGTTAAGCCAGCATCCAACGAGTGTAACAGTTGAAGCTTCAGGTTAATGACCTTTCATCCGAACTGAGGAAAGAAAAAAAGTTATGTAAATTGGGAGCAAGAATGGGACCATTCAATCCCTTGTGCCTTCTTTGCTTCCATCCAGGAGGATCACAACTAATGAGATTGTGTCATGAACTCCATTTTCCTGCCGATTCACAATATCCTTGGACTCCCTTCTTAGTCAAGAATCTCTGCTTTGAAAACTTCCAGTGACCTTGCCTCCACTGCCCCCGAGGCAAGTCTTCAACAGACTCATGAAACTGAGAGGAAAACCTTCTCCTGATCCCTTTATTTGGAGGTTCCTGATTATTAAGTTGCATCTTCTGGTCTAATCTCTCTCACAAGGGGAATTATCTCTTCAGCAACCACCCTGTCAAAATCCATTAAGATCTTAAACATTTCATTGCTATCCCCTCTCATTCTTCTAACCTCCAGTGGAAACAGAGCATTTCCTCATTAGATAACCCCTATTCAACAGAATTAGTTGTGTGAGCCTGCTCTGAATGTCTTCTGATGCAATTATTTCCTTTATTACATTTCATTTTCTCACATAAAATGAAAACTATATACAGTAATCTAGATATGGTGTCATCATTTATCTTGAACAACTGTAGCAAAACATTTCTAATTCTATATTCCGTCACCTTGAAATCACTTAAACATTCAATTTGTCTTCCTATCCACTTGTGGTACCTGCATGCTAACAACTTATGATTCATGTACCAGGACTTCCAGATCTCTCTATACCACGGTGTTCTGCAGTCTCTCTCCATTTAGATAATATGCTACTTTTTTATTCATCCTGCCAAAGTGGGCGTGTTCAAAGTTTTCCAAATTATACTGCTGCCAAATTTTTCTCTGCTCACTTAAACTATTTAGATCCACATTTGGACTCCTTATGTCCTTTTTGCACCTTATTTTCCTTCCTATTTCTGTATTATCAGCATATTTACCAACCACATATGTTATATATGGTATGCAAGTATTTAATTCTTTCATCTCCAGGTCATTGATATAGATTGTAAATAGCTGAGCCTCTAGCATGGACTCCTCTAGCGATCAGCTTGTTTTATCTTGCCATCCCGAAAATGACGCATTTATGCCTATTCTTTTCCTGTTAGCTAACCAATTCTTGATGCATGCTAATATGTTGCCCCTCGTGCTACGTACTCCTCTTAATATATTAACCTTTTAGCAAGTGAAAGGGTGAGTGGGAGAGCAAGGGGAAGAACGAGAAGCACAGAATGACAGAAAGTGAGCTAATAATTAAACTCATGTCCAATCAAGCACGAAAAGCGAAATGAGAATGGGTTCAGAAAAGTGAAGTTAATAAAGGGAGCTAAAGGAGACAGAAAACCAAGAAAAGGTTATATTTGCATATTTTTGAAAAATCTGACGGAAAGGAAGGACGGGCTTTCAAAATGTCACTTTTTCGTGCGAAAGGTTGTTTTACTACTGGCGATTAAAATGTTGTTTACATTGGAATAGACAAGTTCAATATTTTTTGGCTGATTTAGTCTACATTTGTGAAAGAAGTGCATAAGATACTATTAACAACAAAGTTTCTGGAGGAGCAAAGCAACTTTGGTCACAAATTCATGCTTTTGAACAGTGTCTTTCACTAATCCAGGAATTCTTAAAGGAAAGAGAAGCTTGCATTTACGAAACACATCTTAATGACCACAGATTAGTCCAAAGCATTTTACAGCCACTGAAATGCTGTTATAATGTAGGGAAGCAACAGCTATTTGGAACACAGCAAACTTGTACAAACAACAATATGGCAACAAGCAGAGAGTCTGTTTTTGTGATGTTGATTGAGGGATAAATCTTGGCCAGGACACTGGGTATAATCCCTTATCTTTGAAATAATACCATAGGATCATGTATCACTACTGGAGAAGGCATGTGGGATGTCAATGTCTCAGCTGAAAGACAGCACCTCCATCAGTGCAGCACTCCCTCAGAAATTCACAGGAATGTCAGTCTTGATTTGTCTCCTCAAGTCTTGATAGGTGATTTTAATCCATGGCTACCTGACTTGGACTGTCTGATTGCTATCAACTAAGTCATGGCTGATAGTATTCAGCCAATGAAATGCCAAAAACTACCCAGCTTGTAGAGATTTTATATCAACTTCCATCCAGATAATGTATGCTAACTGGAGTGTTCAATGATGATATGAAGCAATATTAAAAGAGATCAAAACTCCACTGAGACTGGATTGTTTTGTGTTATGTTAAAATCTCATGTTATTTTGTAATACAATTGTGAAAGTTTGAGGCTGAAAGCTAACAGTTCCTTCAAAGTAGCATTTTCTAGACCAGTGACCTCTACCATCTCCATGAACAAAGGTAGCAGACATTTGGGAACACCTACAACTGCAAATTTCCTGCCAAGTTGTACACCACCCTGACTTGGAACTGTATTGACATTCTTTCATTGTCACTGGAATAAAATCCAGAACTCAGTCCCTAATAGCACAATGGTAAATCTTTTATTTTATGGACGCTATCACTTTCTTAAGAACAGTTTTGATGGGCAATGCATGCCGTCCTTCTTAATGAAGGTTGCATGCCAGGAGCAAATAACAAAATCTAAAACTTAGCTGATACTTGTGATTCTTTGTTTCTTTCACTGTAATTGGTCTATTGATGTTAATGTTTTTTTCCCTTTTTTTTCAGCATCAGCTGTCGCAGGCCCTGGAGGATGCTGGCAACCACAAGCTAAAAGCACAGACAGTAAGCACGTTTTTAAAATCAAAGTGATTGTCTGAATTCCCCTATAGGGGGAAGTAGTTGAAATTGAATTCTGAAACTGAACTGGAGATTTCTAATTCAGCCTAAAAGAAATTGGCTGTTTGTTTTGTGAGATATGGGGCAATTGACACCAATATTTGAAGAAATCACATAGCCACATCATATTAGAATTGCAATCTCTACATTTCTTCATCTTGAAACTTATAAATTTGGCTATTTTGGTTTTATTTCTCCTTTAGTAAGGTGAAATAATTTTGTGTCTGGCTTTCCTTTCAGTCACAAGTATACTTCAGAGTTGTGAAATACAAGCAATACAATTACTGCTAATAAAATGTCATAGAAGTGTTTGTAATCAACTTTGCGAGATGATCCAATCCACATTTTTTAAAAGCAGATTTCTTGAAAAACAAGATTTCTTCTTCTAAAGACCTAGTCTCCTTGCTAAACATCAATTTCTAGATTGGTTGGGTTTCCATACTTGTCAATTGGTTATCATTTCTGTCTGAGCACGAACAGTAAGGTTCAGTGGGAGTTCACTAGTGAGTATTCCAACTTTTATATATCCCTTCCCCTGGATTTGGAGAGACATGAGATAGTAATCATGATCAGTAATTCTGGATGAAATTCTCTACCCTAATTCAGGAATTCTGGGATCAATGGTAGTGCCCCACTGCAACCCAGGTAAGTCATATGAAAGCTCAGCAGCTGTCAAGCTGTGAAACACTGGCCTGTAGATCCGTACTTGGATTTCTGCCTCTGCTGTAGTGCTGAAACACTTCGAAACAAACTCTCTAGTTGCATTCTGTGTGTAGTGAATGTAGCAAAGTATTCCTTCTCAAGTTTCTCAACCGCTCTGCAGCCTTTGCTGGTATATACAGATTTCCAAAAGTAATTTGATAAAAAGCCACATAACTATTTTTCAGCAAAGATGAAATCCATGGAATAAAAGGCACAGTGGCAGAATGGATTCCAAGTTACAGGAATTGGGGATCAGCGGTAAATGGTTATTTAACAGACTGTCATAAGGCATGTAGTGGGGATCCCTTAGGGTTGATTACCGCTTTTGTAGAATCAGTCACAAGTCGTACAGCATGGAAACAGAGCCTTCGGTTCAACTCGTCCATTCTGACCAAGTTTCCCAAAGTAAACTAGTCCCACTTGCCTGCATTTTCCCCATATCCCTCTAAACCTTTCCTATTCATGTATCTATACAAACATCTTTTAAATATTGTAACTGTACCTGCTTCCAGCACTTCCTCTGGCAATTCATTCCACATATGAATCACCCCTTGTGTGAAAAAGTTGTCCCTTAGGTCCTTTCTAAATCTTTCCCATCTCACCTTAAACCTATGTCCCCCAGTTTTGAACCCCCCCCCCACACTAGGGAAAAGACCTTGGCTATTCACCCTTTCCTTGCCCCTCATGATTTTATAAACCTCTATCAGGTCACCCCTCAACCTCCCATGCTCCAGTGAAAAAAGTCCCAGCCTATCCAGCCTGTCCTTATAACTCAAACCCTCCAGTCCTGGCAATATCCTGGTAAATCTTTTATTCACCCTCTCCAATTTAATAATATCCTTCCTATAGACCAGAACAGTACACACTACTCCACAAGTGGCCTCACCAACATCCTGTACAACCTCAATGTGATGTCCCAGCTCCTGTACTCAGTGGTTTGAACAACGATGGCAAGTGTGCTAAACGCCTTAATGACCTTGTCTGCTTGTGACGCACCTTTCAAAGAGCCATGTACCTGAATGCCTAGGCCTCTCTGTTCGACAACACTACCCAAGGACCTACCATTAGCTGTATATGTCATGCCCTTGTTTGTTTTACCAAAATGCAATATCTCACGTTTATCCAAGTTAAACTCCATCTGGCACTCCTCACCCCATTGACCAAGATCCCTTTGTAATCTTAAATAACCTTCTTCACTGTTGACTATATCAGCAATTTTAGTATAATCTGCAAACTTACTGTCCATGCCTCCTAAATTCTCATTCAAATCGTTTATATAAATAACAAACAATAGTGGACCCAGCATGATCCCTGCAGAACAATGCTGGTCATGGTCTCCAGTCTGAAAAACAACTCTCCACCACCACCCTCTGTCTCCTACTGTTAAGCCACTTTTATATCCAAATGACAAGCTCTCCCTGAATCCCATGTGATTTAACTATACTAATCAGTTTACCATGTGGAACCTTGTCAAATGCTTTACTAAAGTCCATGTAGACAATGTCTATTGCTCTGCCCTCATCAATCTTTTTGGTTACATCCGCAAAAAACTCAATCAAGTTTGTAAGACATGATTTCCACGCACATTGCCATGCTGACTATCCCTAATCAGTCCTTGACTCTCCATATAAATGGAAATCCTATCTCTCAGACCCCCTCCAACAACTTATCCACCACTGATCTATAGACCCAAGGCTTCTCCTTAAAGCCTTTCTCTATGATCAGTGTGTTGGATTGAGATAAAGGAGTGTAATTTAAAAATGTCCAGCTGACTCTGAATTTGGAAAGATTGTGAACCTTGAGGAGGATATTGGTAGACTTCACGAGAGCAGGGGTACATTGATGGAATGTATGGTTGCATGACAGATGAAATTTTGTGCAGAGAAGTCTGAAGTAATAGATTTGAGTAGGAAGCATGAGGTTGGACAATAAAATCTAAAGTATACAATTCTAAAGAGGGTGTGGGAGTAGAAAAACTCAGGATTTTAACTGTACAAATCATTGATAGTGTCAGGGCACATTGACAAAGCAGTTAATAAGGCTGTTGTCATCCTACGCTTTATAAGTAGAAGCATAGACTACAAAAGTGAAGATGTTATGGTGCAGCTTTATAAACACACTGGTTCAGCCTCAACTGGAGTATTGTATGCAATTCTGAGCACCGGTCTTAGACAGGATGTGTGAAGGCTTTGGCCAGGTGGCAAAAAATGATTAATGATAATGGTTGTGGGGCTGAGAAGCTTCAACTACAAGATATTGTTCGTCTGAGAGAAGAGAAGGTTGAGAAGAGATTTTATAGGTCTGTTAAAAATCATGAGGATCTGGACCGAGTAGATGGGGAAAAGCTATTTCTGTTGGTGGAGACGGGTTGGGAACTAGAGCACGTTAATTTAAGGCAATTGTTAAAAAGAGTAACAATGTCATGAGGAAAATTTGTTTAGGCACTGAATGGCTAGGACCTAAAATGCCCTTACGGGGGAGTATGGAGGAGATAAATTCAATCATGATTTTTGAAAGATATTTGAATAATTGAAGGAAAAAGGTCTGCAGGACTACTGGAGAAAAAGCTGGTGAGTGGGGCTAGCTGAGTAGCTGTTACAGAGGTCTGGAGCAACTCCACAGTCTATAAGGTAAAGGAGCAGAATTAGGCCATTCGACCCATTGAGTCTGCTCCGCCATTTGGTCATGACAGATATGTTTCTCAACTCCATTGTCCTGCCTTCTCCCCTTAATGAAAAATCCCCTTCCTAATCAAGAACTTGTCTATCTCTGTCTTAAAGACACTCAATGACTTGGCCTCCACAATCTTCTGCAGCAACGAGTTCTGTAGATTCATCACCATCTGGCTGAAGAAATTCCTTCTCATCTCAGTTCTAAAGGGTCGTCCCTTCACTCAGTGGCTGTGCCCTTGGGTCCTAGTCTCTAATTGGTCTCCTGTGCTGTAACATGACGTGATTGGTCACAGTCCCTTGTCGAGCACTTCTTTGTTGTTCAATTTGCTTTACTTGTCCTTTGGGTCTACTCTTAACTGTCCAATCATAGAGCATCTCTGGAAAAGAATCTCTTTCCGCCCCTCTTATGGTTATTGTTTGAATCTCCTGCGGATTTGCTCTTTGCTGCCTTACTTAAACATTACTTCTTGGCAGCATTGTTCTCAGATATGCTGTCATTTTCCATGTGTATTCTGTTTATATTTAGCACTTCTTTTTTTGATTCTTTCAGTGAATGTGGTGCTGCAAAATTATTTGACCAGTATTTAGTCTTTTATATGGTAAAATCTGCGATTGATTCCGTTCCCTTTCCTAATCACTGCCTGAGACTGAACCAGACTGTTGTAATCTCATTAACTATTCAAACTGAGTATGAGTTTTTGAATGGATCTCTTCAGAATTCCGTAGGAACAATGCCTTCAACCATCCTGCAATTGGTAATTGTCTTCCCAAACTCCCTTACCCTTTTTTCTTGATGCTTCTGCCTTCTCCTTAAAGGTAACCTCAATCTAAACTTTTGTTCACCTCTCATACTATTACCTTACAGTGTCCATTTTGTATGTTGTTACAAATCACCTTAAGGTGTTTTTCTATTAAAGGTGCTGTTTTTATTTATGGCTCAGCCACTCAATAAATATGATTAACTATCTGAAAAGTTTCAGGACTTCCAAATTAAAGTATCTGAACAATTCACAACCAATTGTCCTTGATTGCTTTTCGTGAAGTTTGTTCAAGAAGTGCAAGATTATATGATCATGTCTATTTTAGGAATTTTTTGATACCTTTAAAAAATCAAATCCCCTGGGATTCTGTTGGTATGTTAATGAAATTGCATTGGTAAACAAACTGATGAACAATGTTCTGATTACAGGATACTTCAAATAGAAATTAAATTTTCAATCAATGATGCAAACCCAAGGTAGACCAGGCTGAAGAAGCCAGATTCTAATTCACTTGTGATTTGCAGCAGCATGTCTGTGAAAGAAAATCCATTTCCTTCCTAATTTTGACCAGGTTTGAAAGCTGGCCTCTGGAGGGTGCAAGATACTTGTTGAAGCTACTGCTTTAGCCAAATACAATAACAAGTTCAGTACAAAATAACGGTCTAGCATGATTTAAGCAAGTGGCTACAGCAGATGTCTGAAATAACTGGACAGGTTGGTTGTTCAGTAAGTTACTTTTTGCAAATAATAGATGAAATGCTTTGCATTTCAAATTAGAATGGCATGGTTGAGATGTGACCAAGCTATCAAC